CAGTACGTGGGCCTCTCACTGTTGTGGCCTCTCCCGTTGCGGAGCACAGGCCTGGATGCGCAGGCTCAGCGGCCATGGCTCATGGGCCCAGCCGCTCCGCGGCATGTGGGATCCTCCCAGACCGGGGCACGAACCCGTGTCCCCTGCATCGGCAGGCAGACTCTCAACCACTGTGCCACCAGGGAAGCCCCATGTCTTAGTTTTTACTTCATGCTACAGCTGAACTTAGTACCAAAGTTTGAAGTCAAAAGTCACAATATATAAATAAACGTGTTTCACTAAGATACCTACTAAATAATATTGGGAGATTTTGTTAAATTAATTAGGAGTAGAAGAACTTCTAGGGATCTCCATTAAAATAATCATGATCTCCATTAAAATAAATAATGTTATTAAAACATTGCCAGGGCAATGTTTAAGAGAAGTTAGCCTAGGTAGGTGCTTCTATTAAAATAATAATAATAATAATAATAATAATATTTGAGACTGTCTGAATATGTAAGGCCAAATTTTTTCTACTTTTAGAAGCAACCATTAAGCATTTGAAATAAGAATAATTAATTCAAGGTTAACACTCTGTTGTGAATCGTAAAAAATCCAGTCTGTACAGGGAACAGAGAGATTTGCATCAAAGGTGGCTTTTATTTAACAGGTCTTGGTACTTTTATTTATTCCTGTGAGTGACTTGTTGTCAGAGACCGTCCCTTATTGGATACAGAGACCAAAGTTTTGACAAATCACCCTCAAATAAAACCCCTGACACGTACAAAACATAGACCAGAAAGAAGACAATTTAAGTGTTTTATCCTAGACTATTTTATTTAAATTTACTTTTATGACTTAATTCCAAATTTCTTATAGAGTTCTACAAAATAAGATATGTAGATCTGGAATTTATCATTATCAGCAGGTAGATCCTTCCAATGTACCATGAAAATAGGGAGAGGTATTTGTGTCATTAGCTGAGGTAAGAGAGTGGAGTTTCTTTTAATGAAAGACTTCTCTATATCTAGTTAATGTAAACTGCATTTTAATAAAATGAAGCATCTTTAAGAGACAGAGCATGCTTATCTAATTTGGGGTGAACCACTCTTTACTTATATTGATCTTTAGCAAATTATCTTGTAAAAGAGAGAGTACCAATCCTAATCCTGGTATCTCTCTCGCTAAAGAAAGCAGGACCTTAAAGCATACCATCTTGAATTTTTAAGTTATGACTTGTGACTGGGAAAATGAAAAAGAACTTTTAAAAGGAAAATGTCTTATAAATGTGGATTCTTTGATGTGTGTGTGTAAAGGAGTCTAGTTTTAAGAGAAGTAAGCCTAGAAATTGTAGTAACACTGTGGGAAAAACAGAGATTTCCCACTACTAAACTGGATCTGTTCTAAGGAAGAGTTTTAAGTAGGTAGGTAAGTGACCAAGAAAAAGGAATAATTCAATGACTTCTACGTCATGTTATCCTGAGTCCTATGTCCAAGTAAAATTGAATTCCTGAAGCTTTACTTTGAATTCATTGAAACCTGGAATTCATTGAAACCTGGAATTCATTGAAACTTTATTCTAATGTTTATCCTCAATACAGGACAAGAGTCCTGATATAAAATAAGTGGTTTATAAGCTCTGTTTTGGTGACTGGATGGATAGAAGAGGGACTCTGGAAGTAGCATATATGGCAGAGTTTGACGCCAGAGAACTTGTGCATCCACCTTCTTTGCTCAGGAGCCACGAATGCCATGGAGATAAACAGCTGGACTCCACACAGCATCAGCCTCACACAGATCTCATATGGTTGTGTAACCGAGCAGGACCCTGTGGGGCCTTCCCGGGACAGACCCCTCCCCCATATCCTCTGCAGTAGTTCCTCTCTGAACTTCCTAGATAATAGTATCTGATGCACATTTCCTGAGTTGTTTTACACATTTGAAAACCCCACCAGATGGAAGATGTTAACTACTTGATGACCATGAGCACGTAGTCCCCAGACCTACTGGAGCCTGAGGACTGATGATGTTAACCCCTGTGACACTGCCCTGTTACCTCACCATCAACCAATCAGATAACTGATTGGTTATGATCAGCAATCCTGCTGATTGATCAGCAGGAGCTGATCACACACCCTGAGACACATCTCTCTCACCCGGCCTTTAAAAATGCTTTGCTGAAACCCATCGGGGAGGCTGGGCTTTTTGAGCACTAGCTGCCCTGGACTCCTTGCTTGGTGCCTTACAATAAATGCTGCACTTCCCTTCACCACAACCGGGTGTCAGTAGATTAGCTTTACTGTGTGCAGATGAGCAGACCCAAGTTTTGGTTCGGTAACAGTTATCACTGTCTTGTGTTCATTAACTTCTTTCTAAATATTTTCTTAACAATGCTTGAAAGTGAAGGTCATTCAGGAGGATGTATTTTCCAAGGAGCTGCTTGTGGGCTCAACTAAATTTTTTTAAGAATAAAATCAGCTCAAAAACTATCTCTAGTTTTTGTAAAAGAGGATCACCAAAGCAAGGTTTATATATGTTATTACGAATAGCATGATTTAAAGTTCAGAGGGCTCTTAAGAGGTGAAGATCACAGTGTGGCAATACCTGTAAAAGTCACTCTCCTAGGAAGTCACTTGTCTCGGATGTCATGTGTGATAATACTTGTTTTACTCAGTGAAGCAGCCCTTATCAAAAGCTAACTCCTTCCTTTTCATAAGTGTTTGTAAATAACTCAACACTGTTATTACCATGCTATAGCTGTATCTGCCTGCTCTTCTTATGACTTCTTACATTCCTCAACTATTTATTGATATATTTTTCTCTTCTAAGCCATGATAGTTGAAACTATCCCTTTCTAAATGAGGTAGGCTAAGCAGAAAACAAAAAAGCAGACATAATTTCTGGTGGGCAAAGAGCACAGTTGAAATGAACTCTTTGAGTCTGGGTAACACCCTTCCCTTACGAAGCCTAAAAGAGGTGCTGTTTTCAGCGCCATCACCACAGTTGATTCATATGAAGCCTGTGGTTAATGAAATCTCCAGTTTCTTCTACTTAATTCCATATCCATGGAGGATTACCTCATCTGGTATTAATATAATTTACTTTTTAAAGTGAAATGTTGGGCTTTACAAGAGGAATCTAATTATTTGAGGGGTATATATACCTGGGGATTGGGAGACCTGTTACAGTCCTGGCTCTGCTCTAGATTTGCTTTGTGACCATAGACCAGAGATTTAATGAGCTACTGAACTTTTCTGGTCCTGTTTATGTGTATCTTCAGAGTGAGAGAATCACACCAATTGATCTCAAAACAGGCCTTGAACACATAAAATGTTATGTCTCTGTAATAGTTGATTCCTATAAACATTAATACTCCATTGTGAGAAAAAATAAACTGCTTAACCATAAGGAGTATATGAATTAAAACAATTGGTAAAAATATACAGCAAAAGATATAGAAGAGAAACATATCATTACCTTTACATGAAGGAACTGGGGTCCATCCAAATTCAGTGCATACAGCGTCTCCTCTTTCCC